CGTCCCAAAATAAGATTTATGTTCGGTTTACGATGTTTAACTGAAGTTATTTTCAAATGAATATAAGTAAAAATTGGTGTAAATTTAAAAAACAAAAATTATATATTAATAACATACATCAAATGTTCTACAAAACATGTAATGACAAGATTGTTTTAGTTTATCAAATGATCAGTGAATATGTATAAATAAAATAGAGTTAGTTTGACATGTAAATAGTACAAGTATTATTTATATAAATAGAGTTATTAATGGACTATTCTAGTTTTCCAGTTCCATCTAATTTCTTTCGTTGCTTCTAGTTTCTTTCAGTTTTTCTCATTTTTCCTATTCCTTTCAGTTTTTTCCAACATCTAACTCTTTTTTCGATTTTAAAGAAGAGGCCCAAAATCTAATTACTTCATGTAGTGTTTGGCAACTAGAATTTCATTTCGATTCATGTATTTTAATTTCAGAATTTGAAATCTTGAATTTCAAATAACAATGAGAGGTGCATGAATTTCAAATTAAGCTTTGTTATGAATGAGAAAATTTTGACTCAAATCCAAATTCAAAATTTTTAAGTTTTCCAAATATGGAATTTGAGTCAAATCCAGATTTAAAATCCAAATCTATGTTCCCAAACATACTGAATTTTAATTAAGGATGGCTTCTTTATTTTCGTGCATGTGATGGGTAAATTGACTTTTAATTATGGACGGCTTCTTTATTTTCGTGCCCGTGATGGGTAAATTTTGTGAACTTTTAGCTACTCTCCATTCAGAATTGTTCTTTCCATTCTTGTTTGAATTTTCTTGATTAAAGTTTATAAATTTTGATTTTAATACGTGGAAAAAATATATTGTATTAAGATATACATTCAATATCAATATAGTCTATTGAAATGTAATTTTGAAATATCAAATTTTTATAAAATATACTCCCTCCTTGTCTTAAAATACTCCCTTTTTATTTTTTTATTTTTTTCCAAAATACTATCACTTTTTATTAAAAAACTACTTTACCCCAACTTTTTCTTATTCCACTTATCACATCATATTTTTTCACTAATAATTTAACTATCACATCTTACTTTTATCCATCACATCAAGGGCAAGATTGGAAAGTCAACAATAAATTTACACTCTTTATTTCTCCTAAAAGTCAAAATAGAGATCGTTTTATGAAACTGAGGAAGTATTTATGCATAAATATAGATATTAATGATCAAAATGCAACATTGGAGATCATGAAAGATCAAATGAGAAGAACATTTCCAGATAGAAGGAATATTTCTTATTTTATCATTTAAATTAACAAAAATAAATGAATAGCCCAATTATAAAATAGTTGAAAGTTCAGGTATCATACATGAAATTTACCCCCATGTGATAACCCCTTTTTTTAGAAATCATCCTATGTAGCACTCTAAGACACCCAATATTACACATATAGCACACCTTATTTTTTCACACATTTGGCTATTTATGGCGTGGATCTCTTTCAATCATACCTTTTTATAATAATCTAGTATTTTAATTATTTCATTTACCATATTTATTGAGATCCAAAATTTTAGGAGGTTATTCTCATTCCACGTATGTAGCACGTAGAATCGTCGTGCCACTCCTCACTGCTTAAACACATTTAATAAACGCAATTGGAAGTGTATACCAATTTTTTCGGCAGTGTGGAATGGTCATGTTATGTCTACACTTTCTAGCAGTGTGTTATACTGTTATGTCAATGTTTTGGGAAATGTGTTATGGTTTACAATACTTAACTACACTTTCTGGTAGTGTGTTATGTTCATGTTTTGGAGGTGTATACCAACTTAGACATATTTTTGAAAATGTGGGATGATCATGCTTTGACCGTGTGGATACATGTTATATTGGGTATGATGACAGTGTGTTATTCCCATGTGTGGAAGTGTATACCAACTTAAACACATTTTTTGACAGTATAGAATGCAAGGATAAATTTGGAATTACATCCACACGAGTTCTAATATCTCATAGCAAGGCTATATTGGGTATTTTAAGCATATATTAGTCTAGGACAGTACTTCTCCCTTTATTTTTACTTCCATACTAGTGCCTATTCTCGTTTTCAAATTGATGTATTTAAATAATAATATAAATTTTAAAATGAAATTTATGTATTTAAAAATGAAATTAAATGATTTATCAAACAAGAGATGATATGAATATAATTTTTATTAGATAATTAACAAGAATTAGTCAAAAAATTGACTCGTAGATAATACTTGAAGCTTTAGTTTAGGACAGAAGAAGAGTGTATTTATTACCCTTAAAAGTAAAAAAAATAGATTGAGTCAATTCTCATTAAGGAAAAAATAGGTAATCCATAATTTAGATACTTTTTAAAAAGAAACTTTAATTTTGGAACGAGAAGTATATTTTTCTCTTATAAAAGGATCCAAGAATTCCTCTCAAATTATTTTAGAAAAATGTTATATCGAGGTGCACCAAAATGTCTCTATCACACAATTTTGGGTATGGATAGAGTACCTTATTTGCTTGAAAATGAGTATTCATCAGTTACTCGTAAATAAGTATTCACTGTGAATGTATAGAAAATACCGTACAACCGATTATACGGTATATATATTGCACGAGAGGGAATACTCCGATATTACTAAAAGTAAAGTATGTGCAAACAATCCACTTAGCCTAAAATCTCTTTTAAAGAGTTTTTTCGTTCCAAAATCACGTCGTTTCTTGTCATTTTACAGAAAAGAACAAAAAAATTTCTAAAAGTTCACAAAGAAAATTCAACCACTCATTTTTTAGTTTTTCAACATTTTTTAAAATTTCGAGAAGTCAAACAAAAACGATTAATTTGGGACCAAAAGAGTATTGATAGACAACTTTCTTTCTTTTTCTTTTGAGGGGAATTGAAATTTGAAAGTGCCAGACCAATCTCTAACATGTGTTACAGTACCAAATTGGCTGAAGAAAATAAATAATACATCTTCCTCACCCACTGCATTATTGATATTTTGTCCTCTTATTCTATAAATTATAGTTTAGGTGAATACTTTTCTTATTATATTCCTCCCGACCTAAATTAATTTTTCATTGTGGATTATGACGATTAATTAATTGATTTAATTTTAAATTTAATTTATTTGATGTAAATATTAGCACAAAATTTTAAAATAAAATTCATATGTTAAAAATTACATTAAATTCTTTATGAATTAAGAAATGACGTGCATTCAAAATTAAAAAAAAGAAATGACGTGATTATTATTTTAATAAATACGGAGCAATTAACGAAGAAATTAAGCAACCCTTAATAATGAATTGAGATGATAAATTCATGATGATGTGAGTAGATAAATTAAACCACCTAATACTTTTGATAAAGACAAACAATTAGGTGTATTTGCCATACTTATGAGTTATAACCATAGCTCTCCCCATCCCAAAATATGTGTCATGTTTGACATAATAAACCTTTTTCCCAAAATAAATATGATGCTCTAGTTTTTATAGAATTTAATAAAAAAAATTAAATTTAATGTGAACAACTTCTTTTATAAATGGAATGTAACATTTATTTTAATTTGGGAAATCCAAATAAAGAAAATATGACAATTTTTTAAGAATAGATGAAATACTTTTAAATAAAATTAAAATGACATCAAATACATGAGGCCGGTTCTAGAGCCACGGGAATCCAATGGCTACGGAAGTCACTGCCCCCCTACGGGGCTCCGTTCATGAAATTGATGATTCCTACGGTCCTACCCCTCTTAACCCCCCCCTTCCTTCTCTATACATGATTCTCCCTCTTTCCTTCTCTATAAATTGAATCAATTTTTTTTAAAAAAAATCAACACAAATACAAATCTCTCTCTATCTATCATCTTTCCTTAAAAAATATTATTCAAGTATTTTATAATTAATGTAAATTCCATAATTGTTCTTTTATAACAGGGGGGTTTCCATATTTAGTCTTCTGTTATCAAATATTACCCTCGTAGTCCTTTTTTAAGGGCGACTTTCCACAAATGACTTGTTTTTTGATCTTCTGCTATGTGAGTGTTAATTTAAAGGCTAAAAGTATAATTTGACATCAACATTATATCTAGTGACGTGTTCTGATATTGGTTAAGTGAATAACACAAAAAATAATGACTATGATTGTGGGCTAGGATTCCGACGGAAGACCACATTTGTAGACTATGGTTGTAGTAGAAAGCGAATGTAATTCACAAACGACGTAAACGGAAGTAAGTTAAACCCAATTCTACTGAAACTGTGAAGTAAGTTAAAGATGACGTAACAGAGAGATAATATTTGAAGCCCGGGGCTTCATGGGTATTTCTAGTACTCTAACCCTCCTATCCCACCAGTTTCTCCAAACTGCCTCCTCCCTTCATCGCCAATATGCTGCAGTAGCAAAGCAATGATAAAGGAGGGGTTTTGGATGCTATGGAGGATATGAATTAATTTCAAGTCCAACGAAGAATTGAATGTGCTCCAATTGGCCCCATGTCATATTATGATATTGGACTCCAATGTCAAAACTCCTTGTCGATGTAAATAAGAGAGAAATAGTTGTTTTAAATTTATACGTTCTTTAAAGTGAAACAATTATTTTACTTACAAATACTAGTATACAAATATAAATTACAAATAAAATGCAGAGTATTTTAAAACTATATCAAAAATTCTCTAAAATAAAATGTGACACAAATATTTTATTGTATCAAAAAATCAATGAAAATACAAATAAATAAAAGCTATCGAAATGTCAGGATAGGAGTTGAGTTTGGGACTGACGAGTATAAAAAATCAGTACTCCCTTTGTCCGGATATAGTTTTCATATTTGATTTTTCTTATTCAAAATTTGAAAACTTTGACCTCAATATGCGGAAAAATATATCTTATATCAATTTGAATAAAATATCATTAGTTTGCTTTTGAAATGTAGTTTTGAAATATTAAAATTGTATAAAATATTTTTGTATATTAATATCGATATTAATGATTAAAGTGTTACATTGGATATAGTAAAAAATTTAAAGAAAGAATTAAATTCGGAGGGAGAGAGTACATTTTAATGAACCCAAAAAAAAACCAAACTTTTTCTTTAAGGAGGGGGGGGGGGGGGGGGGGNTAGTATTAATTAGATTGTCAATCAACCCTGACCACCATATTCTTCTTTCTTCTGGGCAAAATATTGGGTTAAAAATGGGAAGAGAAAAATCTCCTTCACCTCTTCCAGTAAAAGAAACTTCCAACTCTGATGAAATCTTCATGCACCACAGCATACACTTCACTCACAGCTTGAAGGTATACATATATGTATGTGTGTGTGTGTGTGTATATATATATGTTAAATTGCATACATGATTTATTTCTAGTTTTCCTTTTCTTTTTTTAATTTTAAATTTTATCTGCAGGAGTTGAAGAGCCTAAGGGAACAACTGTACTCTGCAGCAGAGCATTTTGAGTTGTCTTTTGGAGAAGATGAACACAAGCATCTGTAAGTGACTTGAAATTGTTATATGCTGGGATTAATTTATTTTAAAAAAATAAAACTAAAAATAAAAATCCCATTGTTATTGTGAAAAATAAAAATAGAGTGGTGAATAGCCTGAAAGATTATGTGAGCAAAGCAGTGATTAGCACAGTGGATCACTTGGGGTGTGTGGCATCTAAACTGGACACTTTCTTGGATGAAAAAGTGGATCAATTTTCTACCACCCAACTTAGATTTTCTTCCATTGAACAGGTAAGGTACCCTACACACTTTTCTTTTTCTTTCTAGTTTAACCAAAGTTCCTACTCCCTCCGCCCCCAAAAAATTACTACAGTTTGACTTTTTTGGTCAAATTATACAATACTTTGACCACAAATTATGAAAAAAATATCTAGTTATAATGTAAATTTAGCAAAATTAGATTCATTTTAAATTATAATTTTGATATATCAAATTTTCATTACATTTAAGTATTTAAAGTTATGTTTAATATATGATCAAAATGTTACACAATTTGACCAAAAAAGTCAAACTCTGACAAATATTTTATTGACCGTGGCAATATATTTTTATACTTCCTCCCTTCCTTAGGATTGAATATTTCACCTAGTTTTAGACAAGCTGCACAGAAGGTTAAAAAAGACTTCATCGAAAATTAGTAATGCTAGATTTGGAAGTGTAAAGAATTCGAGATGGCTTAACACCACTTACAAATGCTTAATTAACTTGAAGAACAGAAATCGAGATCACACCAGCAACTCATCGACCGGAGCGGGCTGATGCAAAATTCGTTCCTTGTGGCAGCACCAAAGTATCAGAAACACTATTATACTAACTCATGTAATTATTCAGTTTTTACCCATTATATATATGCATTTGTTTCTCTAATAATAGGAGTATTATTAATTATTCATGTTTGTTTTTCAAAACTTTTACGGTTTAGGTGTGACGGGTACAATGCGTGGCTCTCTCAAATGGGATGAGAAATATACAAAGGAATGCTCAATGTATGTTGAAGAAGATGATATGCAACCAAGGCAAGGTATAGTATATGCTGAAATAAATAATTTAATCACTTTTTCTCTATCTGTTTTTAAAATAGAATATGTAGTCTAAAATATTTTTATTTTTTAAAAAAATTATATCTACCCACTTTCTTTTAATCTCTCTTGAGGTCGAAGTGGACAAATTAATTTGGGACGAAAAGAGTATAATATATTGTATGGCTAAGAAATGTGGGTTTGCCTTTGACTTTCAGCTTATCAAAGAGGAAGTAAAGCAAAGGGACATCGTCCTCCCCTACCGAGGTACATTTATTACTTCAATAACTAACAAATGCCACCCCAAAAGGACAGACACATACTTCTCATGGCAGTGCCTACTTATTATTAGGACACCCAAAATAAAATGTTGAACTAAGGTACCCCAAACTTTTATTTCTATTAAGGGTATATGAGCTTCATAAATGTGCTCTACCAAAAAAAACAAGGCATTCATAAATGTAATCAATTCTCTGAAAGTCCAATTCCAAAAGTTTGAAATTTTTAAATGCCACCACTTTTACAAAATGGGTTGAACCCCAACCCCTNGTCCCTAGTGCGTAAAAAGAATCCCATGTAGAGCATGATCATTCTTTATCGTCATTGCCAGGAGTCAAACTCGAATTTACCCCTTTTGGCACTCACCTCTCAACCACTTGACCTACGCCACCGGGCTGCCACCAATTTTACCTTTTCCAAGTCCACTTGCTCTGAAAGTGCACTTATAAAAGTTATTTGAAATTGCTGTCTAATTGTGTTTCTTGATATTACACTCTTTTTAACCAAAGCATAACTTGAAAACTTCCAAGAACAAAAAGCACCACCACCTTAACAATGTAGCATTTCCGTATACTTGTGAGTTAACTTTGTAACAGTATTAGTAGCTTAGCAAATCCTTCCAAAATATTGCAGGAGGAATCACAAGCCATCAACAGTAGAAAACTCTCAAAATCTGCAGGGTTTTTCGTTTACGAGAGTTGCATCTAACAAAGAGGGCGGTAAGCACAAATATGCACATTTACTCTCTTTTTCTTGTAGAGAAAGGACAGATTGATACCAATATAAAAGTATAAAACCTTGCCTTACATTCGTATAGGGAAACGGACACATTCTCCACTTAGGTTTATCCTCAAGCGTTCTGGGTCAAATGCTAACAGACCGGCGTCTCCATCTGCTTGCAATCGACAACAGGTAAGGCTTATTATTACGGAGTATTATAATAATAATGGATTTCTGATCAGAACCGTCGATAGAGGTATAGAGAGCTAATGGCTGTCTTGTGTGATTGCAGCACCTAGATCAGGCAAAAAGCAATCAACAAGATCTGCAACTCCAATCTAAAAAGACCAAACATATGCTCAAAGCACTGCTTAGCATCCACAGATCACAAAAGGGGGTAGCATCTAGATACCGTGATGACATGTGAAAGAGGAAAGGAGTCATAAAACAATTTTCCATGCTGGACACAAATTGTATTGTGTATCTTTTAGCTAGCTGTGTTGTAATGTTCTTGAGAATAAACCCTTGAGCGTGTTACATTGGTTAAATGCCACACGATGTGATAATGCGTAAATATAAATGTTGAGACTTTGTACATTGTATTGGCTCTCATGTAAATGGGGATTTTCACTTTGCACTACTCGAGCTCAAAACCCGAGATCAAAACTTGGGAAGTCATCGTCTTTCCTTGTGCTTGTGTTGAGCTCAAAACTGTCTTTGGTGTCACAGTCCACAGCCATTTCAAAGGCATTTGAGTCTGATTTCACAGAGCAAAGGGATTCTACTGGACACTCTTTTGGCTCTTGACAATGTTTCATCACCCCGAGAGCACAACCAAAGGACTTCTCTTCTCTTTCCATTTTCACGCTTGCAATTGCTTCCTCTTCTTTTCCATCTGACATGCCTATTTCTACAGAACTTTCATGTCGGGCAGAGAAAGCCTTCTGTATTAAAAGTAATAGGGAAAAGAAGAGGGAATTAGAAAAGAAAACGGTAGTGTGATAGAGACTCACATAAGGTTTGTAAGAGTTTACCTTCATGGACAGATTAGTGGGAAGGTCATTCGTTGATGCTCCTTGTGTTTCACGAGTTTCGTTTCCTGCGCGGGTACAATCAAATCATAGCACTTGCAATGAATTACAAAATCTGCACTTCTTAAAGTCTCATGTCAAGTTAGTTCGATTAATAAAAAAGAAAATAGAGCTTGCCTCTGGAGGAGACAGATTCTGAAAAAATCTTGCTTTTAGTTCCAGAGGAATTTTCAGGGTGTGATAAGTCAACATTTACATGTTTGCCACAAGTGCTGGTGTCTGTAATGCTTGTTTCTTCTTCTTTGCAAACTATCTTCTCCTTAGATGATTGCCTAGTCTTTTCCGTAGAGGCACTTTCCATTAAAACAATGGGTTTCTTTAGAATAGATAAGATTTCGCAAGCTGCAAAGAGGTACAGATTGTAGTAGAGTATACATTATAAAAAGGTACGTTTACCGAAACCATGCCCCCACCCCATTTACAAAACCACCAAACACATTAACAACCCACAGTGCCAACAGTGATGTGGTCTATTCAACAGGATTATAACACAAGAAGCATGTGATTTGTCATAACTTACCAGCGCGTACATGCTTCTTGTCAATTCCTGAGCCCATTGTTGGGGGAGAAGCAACAAGTAGGATGCACCACCTACAAGGATCAACTTCAAGACAACCAACCAAACACTTAACCCAATTCACCACTATTGATTAACCAAGCACATAAAATCAGCAACACATCAAATAAACCACAACCAAATATGAAGAACAAAGATGCAAACGACACGCGATTTTTATACGTGGAAAACCCCTTCGATGTGAAGGATAAAAACCACGGGACTTATAGGGAGTCCGCCCTCTTCTTCTCTTATTATGCAAATTGAGGGTAAAAACACCCAAACTCAGTCTACAAGGATGTCACAGCCCACCAACAACAACATACATAAGAGGCATCAACAATAGAGAAGGAAAATCAAGATTATCACCCAAAAACGCAGCGTCGCACCAGCTGCGATTACAGAAGATCTGTAGCTCCGATTGATGTGAAAATTGAATAGATTGAAGCCCTAAGTGTTGGGAACAACCTCTGAAAATTTCAGCTCAATCCAACGGCTGGATCTCCGGAGATGATCGAATTTGTGCGGCTGGTCTGTAAATTCTGCACCAGCACCTTTCCTCTCTCAATTCTGATATTTTTTTTTCTGCTCTGTCCGTAAGTCCTCTACTGCCCAGCCCTTTTTTTACTCTCCTTTTTTTTTAGTCAACAAAGTAAAAACACAATTGGGCCCTCCACCAAAGAAAAATGGAACCCAAATAAAATGGGCTGGACCCACAACACCCATTGTAGAGCTTGCGAGAGTCGAGCTTCTAGTGTTAAAATTTATGTCCTCAGGCAAGGAAGTTATCTTTTGAGCTTCACCTGAATGTGTTAAGATTTAACAAGAGTTCAAATAAATCCTGGAGAAGCATTCTTGATTCCAAGACAAGACAGACCACAATACAAACTTATTTGGGACAGTAATCATTTTTACAGAGAAGTATGCTACACCAAAAAGGTCCCACAAAACTATTGAACCATTTGTGATCCGAGTAGTATATTTGAAATTTAAGGATGCCGGTAATGGCAATGCATATAACCAAATAAACGTACCATTGTGCCTAAGTATACTGCATGAAGAGCAGTTATATGTACTCTTTAGATGAGCGTAAAATGATCCTGGCCGATTATTTTTATATCCCGTTCGGTACACACATGACACATAATAAGTTGGTTTTGACCTATATGACTAAAATGGATTTTTCACAATGCTTTTCTTATCAGAGAATTCAGCATATCAGTCATCAGCCAAATAACCCTTACCATACTGGCTCTAAGATGGTACAGAGAACGAAAGAATAAGCCAAAAAAAGAGAGGAAAGCTTAGTGTGTTTACGGAGTCAATAATACTTACTGTGGAATGTCGCTGAATCACTGCCAAGAGAAGGATTTTTTGCAGCGACACTCATACTGAATCTTTTAGAGATTGAAATATTATCTTTATGAGAAAAATCACCATCACGTTGAGGTTCTGTGTATTCAAAGAAGAAACAAAAATGTACACAGGTATTAATGCCAGCAACTATGAAGAGTGCCAAATATAGGCACTGACCATTTTTCCATGCAGAGCAGAATAAGAGACCTTTTTGAATTGTGTGAGCATCACCAACATCGACTAAATAATTTGGTAGATTCAATGTAACTCCAGTTTCCACATGTTCAGATGATTTAAGGAACCTTCGGCCTAGTGTGTTACCCTCTTCTGTGAGCAGAGTGACCTGCATTGCATATAGAATTGGTTAAAAAATAGAGTTTCATATCTAAAGGATACAGAATCTGATAATCATTTCATCTATCAAATGGGGTGCTTGGAAAACAACATACTCCCTTCGTGCCCAAATTAAATGCATGGTTTGACTTCACGGAGTTTGGAAATGTGTCAAAGAGTAAAATGTGTGGTTGGAATAGAGATAGAGATAGAGAGACAGAGACAGAGATATTAAGAACCACATATTCCATTCTTGAAAAGGAAAGTGGAGAGGTACAAACTTTATTTTTGAACGGACGGAAGGGGAAAATGTGAATTTAATTTAAGAACAGAGTAAGATAAAATTTCAAAGATGAAATTAAATGTGAATTTATTTTCAACTTATGCAGTTTTTTCGGCATTTTGGCCCAAAAAACATTTTTATTGGCCAAAATGCTAATTAAGGTGTCTGACAAATTAGCATTTTGAATTAGCAATTTTAAACTACTTGTCAAACCTGCTACATTAAGTTATCTGCAAACTGGTGTTTGTAAATCATCCTCAAAATCTATTATTTTCTCATCATAGAAGGCGCATGCAAAGTTAACAGCTAAACAGGTGCATCGGATTTCAGGAAAGCAGAAAAAAACATTAATGCCAGACTGAAAGATGGGAATTGTTGATGCAAATACAGCTAACCTGATATCGAAAAGAACCACAAGATGAGAGTCTGAGAACTCCACTATTATATTTCTTCCGTTTTTGACATACCTGAGAAGTGTACATGACATCCCATTCTGCAATTATAGAATGTAGCAACACGGAAGGAATGGATTAAGTGCATTACAATTGCTTTCTACATGATTATATACGGAGCATATTTTAGACTACCATTTTGCATTGATGATAGAAGTCATTGCAAAGTGCAAGGTCAAGTGTGACTGTGAGATCACAGGAAAGATGCAAATTGGAACCATGGGAATTTAAGAAAACAAATAGCTAAAGCAAGCTACTAGGAACAATGATATTCTATCAACTCATTGATGGCAACAGAAAAAACCGATGAGAGCTGTTGAGCAGATATGTAACATTCCAAACGAAAGTAGCTTCTACACTACAATAACAAGCAAAATGATTGCAGAGCTACATGAAATTTCAACGGAAGAGGAGAAGATGAATTTACCAACTGGATACTTGTGCTGAGAGTGTAAAGAGTCTTGCATCACCTCAATGTGTCCTCCTAGAAAATTTGAGTCTAGAAGAGGTTTTTGATTTCCTTCACATTCTCCAATCTCCACCAGGAAACCATCAAAAGTTATTGAATTACCACACTTAATATTTTCATTTGTTTTCAAAAACCGGCTATCCAAAAGTCCTTTGGCAGCATCATAGAGCATGGCCTGGCAGAAAACCACAAATAGGAACTGATAATGACTATGTTTGAGATAATGCTACATACCAAAGTTATAAAGTCATAATATTTCACCCAAATTAGTGTGGCACTAGACTCTGACAAGATGATAATGAACATAAAGAAGGCATTATCCCATTGGTAACAAATAACTGAGGAAATAGACCTTCTTGCAGTGTGAGCCACTCAATGAAACTCGTAAGAACCCATCATGGAACTTCTTGGCTTTTTGAGTTAATTGAGTGGTGTACATGACCTGCCATTCTTAAAAGAAAAGGGAGCAGAAAAGGGAAAACCAGTGCATAAGTTACAATCCACTATAAGCAGACAGCAGATTGTCAAAAGAACACAGCCAGAGGACTAAGAATTTTTTCTATCCATGTGAAGCAAGGTTAGATTTTGTAACCTACCTTCTTCCCCAGATTTTGTCTCATAAACGCAACTTGGCGAAGAACTGTACTTATGCATCTCACCTTTCTTGAACTCTGAATTTTGGCAAAACCAGTCACTCTTCATAGCCATTGAATTAATTAACCACACCCTAGGGTTATATGTAACTTCTAGAAACTTTTAGACCAGGTTTAAGCTTCCTTTTAGGAGAAAAGGAGAGCTAAGTTCAACCAAGAGAGATATTAATATTCATATAAGATGTTCACTTAATAACATAGACAGAGATTATGTTGTAGTAAGACCCCAAAAGTTCATACAACAATCTTTCATAAGCTCTGAAAAATACTGGAGTACTTCTGTTCCATGCAGTACATATGATATTTAAGGATGATTATAATGGGAACTACAACATATCACCAAATACATTTACCGTTGTAGGTTAGTGTCTAAGTATACTGCAAGAGAGTAGTTTTGTGTACTCTTCAGATTACATAAAAGAAGCCCTAAAGAATTTAGATGGCACAAAATATGCAAGAGTAAGCCCCCTTCCCCCCTCCCCCCCCCCAAAAAAAAAACAAAAAAAAAAGAAGAGGAAAACTTAGTATGTTGGCACTGAATCTTTTTTGTGTTGAAACAGTATCTGTATGGGAAGAAGCGCCTCACTGAAGTTATATGTATATAAGTTATACAACAAAACCTCATTGAAAGTTACATGCTCACATAAGAGCAAAAAGTAGCAAAATGCTCAGGTATTATAGCCAAATATTATAGTGCCAACGAAGATGTTGCTTCAAAATGATTTTCCAAAATGCAGTAATACATAGGACAGTAGTTTTCCATGGATAGCAGAAAGATACCCTCTGGGGTTGTGTGCAATCCACTGGCTTCGAGCCTTCGACTAAAAAAATCTCAATATGCATTATTGTTGCTTTCGCCATGCTGATACGGGATTCTATTGGGTTGTTGTTGTACCATGCAACAACAACAACAACATTACCCTAGTGCCTCAAAGCCTCCCGTGCATTGCGGCGTAAGGGGGGGTCAGATGTACGCAGCATGACCCCTATGTTTAAAACATAGAGCGGTTGTTTCCAGATGACCCATGCAACAAGAACAACAACATTACCCTGTGATTCATAGGCACCCGCCCATTACGGGGTAGGGAGGGTCAGATATACATAGCAGTTAGTAAATGCAACTTTCAACCCTCATCATGGGTCATTTGAAACAACCGCTCTATGTTTTAAACATAGGGGTCACTATTGAAAGAAACACAGAAAGTTTAAAGAGCCATTTTTCTTTACGCCAACACAAAATGCAAATAGCTTCTACACTATAATAACGAAAAATGATAATGCATTTTATGAAATTGCTAGCAACTACATAGTTGATGATTCTACCAGCAGGAGAGTAGTGCTGGGAGTGTAATTTATCATGCATCACTTTTCCTCCTTGAAACTTAGAGTCCAGAAGAGGCTTTTGATTTCCTTCACATTCTCCAATATCCACTAAGAAACCATCAAAAGTAATTGATTCGCCACATTGAATAGTTTCATTAAGCTTTAAAAACCTACTATCTAAGAGTCCTTTGGCAGCATCATAGAGCATGGCCTGGCAAAAAACAAAACAAAACAACTTCAAAAAATTAGTTGCTGATAATGAATGTATGACTAAACTAATGCTACATGTTAAGCTCATAATATTTCCTGAAGTTAGCGTGGCACTAGACTTTAGGAATGTTAAGTATATGTAAGCTAGTTGACATGCAGATACTCAAAATAAAGAATGCATGAGAAAGTTGGTCACAAACAAACGAGGATATTGACCTTGCATTGCGAACCATTCATCGAAATTCGTAAAAATCCATCATGAAATTTCTTGGCTTTTTGAGTTAGTTGAGTGGTGTACAAGACCTGCCATTCTTAAGAGAAAAAGGAACAGAAAACAAAAAGAAGTGCATAATTGCAATTAACTAGAAGCATATAGCAGATAGTCCAAAGAAAAAACAAGCAGAACTAAGTTTTTCCTAAGTATGTGAAACAAGGTTAGACTTTCTAACCTACCTTCTTCACAAGATTGTGTCACATCAAGACAACTTGGGGAAGAACTATACTTCTGCACTTCACCTTTCTTGAACTCTGAAATTTGGGTAAATCAGTCACTCCTCTTGACCATTAGATTATTAAACAACGGCCTAGTTTAAAAAGTGAACCTCATTTAACCTTTAGAATTGGTATAAGTCTTTTCTTAAGGGAAAAGGAGAGCTAAGGTGAGCTGAGAGAAAAGCTGCAAAGTCAGAGAACATCTGCCCTTATAAACTTGGGTAGATTGTAGTGATAGACATGAAGTGATAGTAAAAACCCCAAAACTCATACAGCAAACTTGAAACACTCCACATATGCATAATATAATAAATAGATAAATAAATAAATAAACAAGAAGAACTTAAAGCAACACAATTGGTGATTGAGCGTAAGAAAGGGAACATTATGCCAAACCTCTAATTAGTTTCTGTGATGGGCTTAGAGAACTAGACAATGCTTTCTTTTCCCTGAAATTAGGCTTCTTGTCCTCTGATGAAACACTAACAGATTATTATGATGCTTAAAGGCCAAGCATGTGAGAAGAACAAGATAGTAATGAAGATAATTACCAACAGCAGAGTTATTCCTGAATTTGTGGTTGTGCAATGACTGAGGTTTCAAACCAATATGTTTATCCCTTGCCTCAGAAGTTTTATTTACTATAGGTTTGTGATCACCATGTAGATCACCAATATCCACAAGGTAGGAATCAAATGCAAGTGTTTGGCCTGATTCAACATCCTTTTCGATCTTTAAAAACTTACTACCCAAAACCTTTTCACAATCATCGTAGAGAGTAACCTGCTTAAAGAATTAAAAATACAAATTATAAATCCTAAAATACTTCAATTGTTGTACATATTAACAGTACATTAGCAACTTTACCTAATTGATACATATGATTATATTCAATTTATGTTTTAAAAAAACATTAATGAGGAAAATTCCATTTAATGATTACATCTTGGACAATCCTATTACATTTTTTAAAGATGCGCGACTTGGGCAATCTAGACATATAAATTGGAATGAAGGGCGTATAGTAACTTACGTTCCAATGCGTGCTTGTACTGATTTATTTATCTATTTCTTCTACTGATGAAATTTTTAAGAGGTTATAACAAAGTGATCTGGACAACTTCTAAACCATTCCTATATTAAATTTTAAAAAATAAAAAAAATAAATCAAATCATCAACAACAAATGCAAGACTGTTACAATAATAAGATCGGTTCCAGAGAATCAGATCAGCTCAATTTCAACTCCGGCTCTAGGGATCAGTTATCTCAACTCTTTGCTTTTGTAAAACTGGGAAAAAAGGTGAAAAGGAAACAAGTTCGATACAGAGATATATTACGAAAATGATCCAGTAATTACAAATTACAAGCGGTTGAAATTCCACTGATGAATATGAGGATGACTTGCCTTGTGGCTTGAAGATTGAACCTCTAGAAACCCGTCTTGGTACACTTTGCGCTTCTGCTTGATGTGCTTCGTGTACGTAACGCTCCACCGCTTCACGTCCCCCACCATCGGCGCCGGAAGTAGCGTCGGAATTCAAACAAACTCTCTCAGCTCTCGGAACTCCGGATGTGAGTCCGTAGATGAGAACAAAATTAATCGGAAAATGGCGCAGAATGCGGCTCTAAAGAGCGGGAATATTAGAAATTCGAATGCTCCATCATTGGATTAGCTGCGGAATAGAGACCGGAGCGAAGGGAGAAAAAAAGGCCATAAAAGCACAGCACATAAATTAAATACTCCCTATTTGAAACATACGGAATATCAAACTTAACAATAATACGGAGTATCAATTTAAGTATGCTATGAAATTGAGTAAGTATATGGTACAATTGGTTGTACCTGGTACATCCGAGTAGTACTTATTCTGAAGTAAAGTAGTACTTATTCTCGTACAAACATAACAATTTATTTAAAATAGCGTGGTACTCATTTTGAAATAACACAGTACTCATTCTGAAATACGTAATACTCATTTGCACACATTTGTACAATATTCATTTATTAATAACGTAATACTCATTCTAAAACTTAGTAATACTCATTCTCAAATAATCTAGTGCTCATTCTTAAACAACATACCATTCATAAAAATTCAAAATCCAAAATCTTAAAATTGGAATTAGAACATACGGAGTATTTGGAATTAGAGCTTTGCCTACCGGATCTACGCATCGGGAGAGCTTCTTCATCGCCGATAGATTTCGCAGATCTTCCTTCTTCCTCCCGATCGATTCTGCCCGAAACTGCCGCAGATCTCCTTCTTCATCGCCTCAGATCGATTTCGCCTTCCGCAGCTCTCCTTCGACCCAGCTTCCGACCCGACCCGACCCTCCTCTTTTCTCCTCCGATCGACGCCTTTTCTACCGGTTGTACCCAATTTTGGGTACAGCCGGTTGTATGGTATAATTTGCGTATGAAATTTCATTAAAAATATAGTATTCAATATGTGACGGAATAATGATTCCTTGAGTCTAAAATTTATTATTCAGTTGTGACATATTTGCCTACAAATAATGTCCACAATATATAGTACAAGAACACGATAATCAACTAGTGTAGTCTATCTATTAATTTTGCAAACCATCATAGAAAAAAATAGCAGTTACGAATCAATCTTACAGTGCATCATACTGAGTCAAATATGATGGAGCCAATGAGACTATATGGAGAATGAGACTCGTCAAATAATCTTGTTATTGCTTTGACTCACTTCTCTAAAAAATGGACCTCGCTCAAATAGCTCCAAAAAAAATTATATACGTGTATTAAGTTACGAAAGCTTCTTAATTCCCGACAATGAAAGTTTTTTTTACTCTTTTCTAAATGAGGTGATTTCATTTGAAAAAAATGTTCCATATTAATATATTAGGGTCCATAACTATGAGGCCCAATGCACAAGATATTGTAGTATTGACCAATGAGGTCCTATCGATTAGTATTACATAGAAAAATCAATTATAAACACTAATACAATTCGGTCCATTCAAAGAGCAATTCACCAAGTAACATAACCTCCACAATAAAGAAAAAAAGGACAAGCCCCATCAAGGAGGACCAGGACCCTTCAGAACTAGTCGGACAATCACCTAAGAGAGGTCATTTAAGCTATAATCACAAACTAACTGACAAAGGATGAAATTTGAACCTAATATTTACGGAAGGCTTATACTTAACATAGTTGTCTCCTAGCACTATTATCAGAAATCAAACTCAGATCAATCCTCTTTGGTACCCCCTTTTTTAACCAGCTAAGTTACGCCCACCGACAAACCTACAATATAACACAAGATACATTGTGCCCTCTATTATTATTCATATCACTATTCATCATCATTGTAAAAGCCTTGAGCTCCATTAATGACTAAAACATCATGTATTGTTCTAATACTTTTGAATACATTATAAAATACTCATGTTATTATTTACCGCCTAAAAAGACTCGTAATTTTATCTTGATTTGAATTTTCATGTAAATATCACATGTTCATCACATATTTATACAGAAAATTCCTCTAGGGTATTCTCAATTTTCTGGTAATGACTCTCAGATCCCAAATTATATGAAATATACTCCTGGATACCCTCAATTTTCTGGTAAGAACTCACATTATTCAAAATATACTAAGAAGTCCAATCATTTGTCGCAACCTATATACTCATACTCCGCTCACATTCAGCCATTTGACAATTAGCCCATTTTTTATGACGTTCGAATGAGAGCATAATTTTAAACTCAAATGAAATACAAAGACTAGCTTCAAGCATTCCATTTCCACTAAAGGGCCCGTTTGGCAAGAAATTCAACGTTTTGAAAAGTCTACAAAAATTGAGAGTTTAGGTTTAAGTGTTTAACATTTTCAAAGTTAATCCTCGCCATTAAAAAAATTATTCAAAACGCTAGTTGAAAATATTATTCCAAAACAAGGTCAAACTCGTCATAATTGGACACAGTTGAACCATATAACTGGAGTTCAAGTTTTAAGTAAATACAGTATAGTTCCAATCAAGTTTGAAAAGGAAAAAATAAATTAAAAGATTCCGCTTGAGCTTGGGAGAGTGAAAAATCTCGTCTTGTTACAGTCTGAAATAACCAGAGACATCTCTAAATCTTTTGAGAAAATTCTTTCCATTGCATATTCAAAATTTCGAACGATTCCCCGCCTTTTTTTAAAAGTCGTTATACAAACGAAGAAGGAACTACCGCTTCTTTCTCCCGCCCTTTCCTTGCTTGGAAGAACCGGCGGCGGCGGCAGAGGAGGAGGATGCAGGCTCCTGCTTCTTTATCCTATTAGCATGTTTAGGCACCAATTCTGCAACATGGATCATCAGCTCTTTCCCTGCAATGCAGTAATAATGTATTTCCTGAGATTTAGCAATGAAAGAAAACAACTCTATGGCAAGTTGGAATGTGTATATTTTATAGTAACAATCATAGAGGATGTTTTTTTTGTTCTCTAACACCCAAGGACTCCAACGAATTCTAATGGATCATTTTCCAATATTACCCTTCTTCATTTATACTCCCTTTGTCCCGATTCAGTTCTCCACTTTTTTGTTTTCGTTTGTCCGAAATCAATTTGACCACCATATACATGGAGTAATCAGAAGGAAATGTACCCAAAATTTTCCTTCCCAGTATAACTACATTGTCCTTTTGTTTGGAATCACCAGTTTCAGGGGGAAAGTGGAAAATGAAGTATACGAATTGGAGAAGCATAGTGGAGTAAAGCCATGACGACATTTTTCTACATGCTACCCGAGGGCTAATATGACATTTGCCAAATTAATCAAACAGCTTCAGAACTTATTCATTCTGGATGCAATTATTAGATGAAATCTGACACCCCAGCTCTGACTGAGTAAAAGCATAAACATCACCTAACATTGGGGACTAATAATTAACATAGAACACTGCTAATTCAGGCACTTCCTAGCAAGAAGCTAGGAAGCATTTTTGCATTCAGAAACTCCCTCTAAACCAAGAAACTGACCATAAAACATCTTTAAGCTGTTAAATTGATGGGGTATGAATTGATGAAAACGCGGAGTATAAAATATGCCTGGCTCGATCTCAAATCATATACCTGTCGCCAAATAGATTCGGGCCAATGTAAAAAGTTAGGATCAGCCCATGAAGGAATTGGCTGATAAATGGACTTGACAGTACAAGTAGAAGGGACAGGGATAGACTGCTCGCCCAAGACAAATATTCTTCCGAATGAGTCTAAGGGACATTGGACGGAAGAATATCTGTCTGCCCTCTTCCTCAATCCTAGAACTCTAGAAGTGACTGGGGGAGATTGACTACTGAGGCGAGGGGTCAAGAAGGATCATCCTGCATTTTCCATGAAGCAGCACTCCAACCACTGGAAGGCATGGTGGTTGCAATTAGAAGCTACTCCGTACTATAAATAGCAATTAAAGAGTAATAAAAGAATACTCTGACAGCCTTCATTTCTCTGAGTTTAATTCCTTCCAGAGTTGCCCTTTGTGTGTTCTTTTCTCCATTTTTTCACCCATATCAAAGATAGTGTAGTCACAAAACAGTGAATCCATCAAGAATTAACATCATTTATAAACTGGAGGAAAACACTTAAGTGGTAGAAGCCCTCTCTACGATGCATGAAGGATAATTACATTGGCATGAGACTCACAAGGATGACAAGCTGCAAAAAATTGCAACTCCTTGGAACAAGATGCAAGTTTCAAACCCGAATTTTCTTTGGTCAATGGGGTCCTTTATTATCATGACAGATTGACTATCTAGGCAGTCGGGTTTCTATAGAATGTATCATAAAATTGATGCAAATTTGTATTATCTGGGATGAAGACTCGGATTGAGGAATTCATGTATGCTTGTGATCAAGGTAGTCAAACTTGAGATTCTACGTTGGATCGCTAGGTTCAATAAAGATCGTAATTCGTAAGATCGTACCTCGAATCGTAAGATCCTACACACTAATTGAACACACATGTTTTAATTAAAGAGAAAGATGATAAATTTTAAAAAAAACTTGGATGCTGGGCAAAAAAGCCACCACTATCTACCCTCTTGTAGAATTAAACATTGAAGCAAAAAAAACAAAATGAATTCAATTAAACATAGAAAAAAATTAATACTAAAAATTAAAATTATACTTGGGTAAAAAGTGAAAGACCCAAATTGTAAAGGAAGAGAAAGGCAGAAGGGTCGTGTGAAGTCAGAGATACTGCACAAGGTCTTCTTCGTAAATATTTGTGTGCGTATTGCTGTATTCATATGAGAGAAGGTTAATTTATGCGGGAAGAGTAGTTCGGAAGAGTCATCGGCTCATCGCTATAATTATTGAAGCGGCTTAACCAAGGGTTTGTAATTTCCGCAGGTAAAAGTTTTCCTAATTTCGATCACCGATCCCAGCCAATTCTCCGATCTTACATTCCCAATCGTCGATCCAAAC